CATTTTCACTCCCATCAGCTTCATCAATTTAGTTTCACCAATTTATCCTCAATTACACCGAGAATAATCAATTCAGGGTTTGGAAATCATTCCAGGGCATAATTTAAAAGCAAATTTTTCAAAATGATAGTTTTCAGGTTATGTCTCATTTTTTCTGACAGTTGTTGACAGTTGTCACATTCGGTGGCCAACTTCACGTTTACATTATTGACCAAGGTTCACAATTTTCCAAATTACAGACCTCTAGACAAGTCGACAATTAGCCATTGTAATGCTACTAGTGGAAAAACCAAATATTATTATGGGTGGATAGAGTCTGAATAGCGGAAAATAACTCAGAGCCGTGGCCCATCTGAATGTCTTTAATTTTAAACTTTATATTTGCATCAAATGATTGTTCTACATATCATACAACCCACACTACACCAGTGTAATAAATATCAAAATGCCTATAATAACTTGTGTTAAAGACATATTCTATTTTATCGACTTATAATTTTAGTTCCTACATTTGTCACAACTACACCATTTCACGTTCCCCAATAAAAAATAAATCGCTGGCATTTTGGGGAATTCCTCAAAATGACCATGTGTTCCCCATTATGTACAATGTAGGAAATAAAAGTTCCCGAAAGGATCGCTGTAGAAATATATGAATGCATATGTTTTGTCTTTAGTATATATCTGTCCGTCTCTAGTCTAATAAATTTTCTAAAAAAATATGGTAAGTTTTGAGAAAACGCATTTAAAAGCATTTTCCTTTGTATTATTAGTAACAAAAGCGAGCACATAAAAGCGTAGAAAAAATTTCCAATGTGTTATTTACATTTATTTTACTTCATACTGTGTCAAATTTCACGTTTTACTGGATTCGAAGGAGTCCGGTAAAATAAAAAAAAAACGGACAAGTCCGGTAAAATTGAGCTAAAAAGAACAAGTCCTGTAATGTGTTTAAACACCATTTTTGATGCTGATTTGCACGAATAAACAAATTAAAACATTTACCAAACAGCGGTTGCTGACGATGTCAGAAAAAGTGACTCGATTTGAACTTTTTCTCAAAATAGTAATTATTTTATCGAATAAAAAAATATGTTGATAGTATGAAATAAAATCCATAACGACATACGTCCGGTAACTCTTTTCGCAGTACTCGTTTCGAAATTAAAGACTCGGCTCCCTACAGTCGCCTCGTCCTGAAACATCTCACTCGTACTGTAAAATTTGAGTTACCGGACCGTATTTATAATAATGTTAGCACTAACAAGTATTTAAAATAACAAGTAATAATTTGTTTGTTTTATTTATTTTTATTCATTATAATAATCCCATTTCTTTATCAGAAACTTTTAAACGAAATAAAACCTACTTGGCTAGAAATAACGGCAAACTTGTGTTAGGCTCATCTGGCAACGTTGTAAAGTATCTAAATCCTGACTATGAGATTTTTACACATTTTTTTCGTCGCCCTCTATCGAGTGGTAGATTTATTAAATGTATTGTTGGCGTGATTTGTGTTACCTATGCGCGTGATTGGTGTCCAAGCTTTTCGCCGGCGTTTGACGGCCGACTGTTGGTGCGCCATCTCTTGTTCGCCGGCCGTTGGCCTGTTCGCTCCAAACAATAGCATGGGTCTATCTATATGTATTTAATCAATGCCTTGTCTAACAACACTCACTGTAGATATGTTTATTTCTCTCTCTAGTTGTCACCGCATGCGAGCGGTATTACGCGCCTCAACATTCCATCCATTAGTTATTAGATCATTGGCTAGATGTCTCTTTGCGCACGGGAATTTTTGTGTGTGGAAAAAAAAGCAGTTGCCTTGCGATGGATTCGAACCCATCGGTCAACCGTGCTGTTATAGTAGCCTGCATAGATATTGTAGCCGTCCATAGAGTCGAAATTTGCGAATAAAAATAAAATAAAACCGGCTCAAACGGAGCCGACGACGGCTTGCAAGTTCTGTCACTACAGCACGCGTCGCATCACACAGAGGTGTATTTAAGAGCAGGTTTTACTCAAGCCATTCATTCGGTTCTCGAACTGTGAAATCAGTGAATTCTGAGGGACGTAAACATTTTCGAGGGGAGAAGTGAATCTTAGTCACAGCGTACACATAAAGATTCAACCTAGTTCGGGTGCCGTCGTCGACTTATAACATTTCACCGATTATAATATGACAAAAGTATTTCAAAATACGATCTCGTCGTGTCTGTACTTTGCGTTTTAGAGTGAGAGTAGATGTGAGCCCCCGATTAGCGTCATTCCTCACCTGACCCGAGTGAAGGCGACAAGAAATCGGCTTGCATTTTGTCCGAAAACATGCGTTCTGTTTTTTCGTTTTATAGCAACATTTTGTAATTTACAACGTCGCAATTTTATATACACAGTTACGAAACATTGATCTTGCTGCCCCCGTTTGAATTTTTCGAAGGCGTCATTTAATTGCCGAGTTACAAACGCTTCTTTTAAGCCAATTTTATGTGATTTTGTTAATTTTTATTGCAACAGTTATTTATCAGATTTAAAAAATTCGAACGGTGGCAAAATGCTACATCCTTTGACAACACTCAATTAAATTTTCAACTATTTTTAACCATTAATAAATCAATGATTCGAAAAATCATAACCCATTGCGCGGGCTACTTTCCGTGTGGGTAAAACCTCCTCTTAAGGCCGATTGCACAAAATCTTAGGCTCACTGTAATCTTACTATTTTCTATCTACGACAAATGATTTGTCACACAGCTACGAAACCGACGATCTAGAGAAAGATGGAAGTTTGAAAATGTATTTCAACGAGTGTAATAACCGTTTGGTGCAATGCAATTGGTTCAAGCAAACCAAAATATGACAGGAAACAAACAGTCCACGTGGACTAGTTTATAGCCGTGTTTGCTGCTAAGACACAGTATACTATCAGTAGAGACAGCTCGTCAAATATTGGAACAACGTGTCCTTACCCAACCGTTTTGATTAGGCGGGAGTTTTGAAACGAAGTGGAATATTGGTTGCCTAAATTACAAATACAGCTCGTCCGTAAAACAATATGAAAGGAACGGATATAAACATTGGATGAATATTAATAAACTGAAACCAATTTTTGGAGTGTGGTACGAAGAAAATACCATTTTGAACAATAAAAAAGAATTGTGCTTATATGCCTTCAATTTTCGCCAAGTATGAACCGTTTGAAGAGTCAGAAAGTGAACGTTGTTGTTTTCATCTTCCTTGGGAAAAGTACTTTAATGTTTTTGGTTGAATTTTTGTTGTTAGTTAAATTAGTGAAGTGATTCTGAGAACCTTTTCATAGTAACATGGACTACAGTGGTAGACCACCTCGTAATTGCAGGCACAATGAAAAAACCTGCTTCAGGGGCTTCTTTAAATTTCCCTTGGAATCTGTAAGATAAGAAATATAAAGAAGTATATTATTCTATAATCAATAAAAAATTATTTGGAATGCAATTTTTACAGCACAGTGAAAATTCCAATAGTTGTAATGATTTAGGATCTATTTTACTAGCAATTGACTCTAAAGAAAGTAACCAGTGTCAAATTATTAATACAGTTTTAAGCTGAACAACTTTTGCACATAAATCTGTGGAAGTAAATATGACAAACTACAGACATCTGGACATGGGGGAAACAAAATTCTTTAAGTTATGTCTGTGGATACTTAATGAAGAAATGCTTGATGAAATATACCTGTGAAACATGTAGTTATTTTGCCGTTGCACGTAATGTCATCATATATGATAAACTTCTCTGTCACTTCAACGCCTTTGATGATGATCCACGATTTTGGTAATCCTAAAGCTGGCCATTCACGTTCCAACGTCCCAGTACGATTGTATTGGATGCAACTGTTGTAGAATTCTGTTAAAAAGCAGCAGTACACACACGTTACGACCTTGCAGTTAAAAATTTACGATCGTGATGACAACATGTCCGACGAAATGACGAAAATGTACTTTTATAGCTGCTCTCACGGTTTGAATAACATACACTGTCGAGTCATGTCCACACATGATCAAATTTCCATCCAAAACAACACGATTGTACTGCTGCAGACAGACTTGTTCACCAACCGTCCACATCCAACCGATTTGCTTGATCGCATACACAGACATTCAAAAACACTTCAATTTGGTCGTATCCAACACATTTGTACTACGGCGTTGCAGCCCTAGAAAAACGATTTGCTTCACTATTTTCTACCAACTCAATTTTACCTTCATGTGGCCGATATATAAAAGCAGCCCTCGTAACTGTGTCCATACCAGCATACCGCACCCCTGCGCCCTGTGTACAGTTTCCACAAGATTATTTATTCTATTTATTTGTTCGAACGCGCATTTTCTTATTCAGTAAAAATAATAAATCACAGTTACAATATTAAATACCAAACATCTAAAATGTCAAATTTGACGCACAATGTTGACATGGTGGTAAATTTTATTTAGTAACAAGGTTTGCCACTACAGTTTCGAGCCAAAATTCAAGGTCATGTCCTTACCCAACGGTCGATTATTGTTGTTTTGGTCCGTTACGTGTATTGACCAGTAAAGTAAGGTTAGAATTTAGAATGCGCGGCAGTTCATAATTCAAAAATTCTACTATGGGTTTCTTATGGGAGCTTGATTTTACAGACAAAATACGCCGCATAGGTAGAAATCTTAACTAGTTCATGCTACAAGCGATAAAGACTGTACAATTATCTTCCTGTTACTAAAGGTTTAACTATATAAAAAGCTTCTGTTAAAGATATATTGCAAATTAAAAACAACGCTATCCATCGAAGTAACGTACATCGTTTCTAACGTCTTGCGCATGAGTGAAACGGAAAATCCAGAAACACTTGGGAAAGAAAAAGAACGCGAATATTTTGCGGTACTAGTGACGTTTAGATCATGAAAATCCCCAAAATATGACAGTTGATTTCGTATTTTCATCACAACAAACAATCATAATCACAATTTTTGAATGATATATTAGTTCTGTGATATTGATTCACATTAGGTTGTATGTATCTGTGGACTGGTTTTTTTGTATTTGTTATTAATAATGACAGAAAGACATGTGTTAACAATAGGGGCAATTGCCATTTTTTTTTGTTGGAGAAAATTCTTTACAGTCAAATAATGTAGCGAAAGTCAATTGGTATACTGAATTAAATGTGCTTGAAGAGTTTATTCGAGCTAGAATGCGAGAAGATTATGGTAAGTTAATGTATATTGATAAATTCTGTGTCAAGTAAAATTATGACGTATTTTGTTTTATTATGCATAGATATTCCTGAAGAGAGGCAACATGTGAAACCCCAAGAGGTGCATTTGTATATCATCATATGGCTACACCTGCCCTACACGGACGTTATAATGTATTGTGGACCAATAATTTGCGTGCTTGAGACGTACATCTGAAGAAAAGTGAATCAGCTGAGGTCCGAGCTGTTGTCTCTGAAAATTCTTTTAATCCCCAAGTCAGCCTAAAAACAGCTAATGTTGAGGTACAACTTCATGAAAGCTTAGGACAAACTGATAGGAGCAAAGCACTGCTTTTGCTACTGGGCCCTGAACTAGAAAGATCTGAAGAAAATCTACTTCATAGTGTCGAAGAACTATTAGTGTCCGAGGACTATTTTAATGGCCCATCAAGAAAACAGTTTGTGGGTCAGTTTTTTACCAAAAGTGAATCAGATTTTGCATTAGGAAGTGCAATTTTTTATTGTAAAACACTTTTTTTTTTGTTTTGAAATAAATTGTTCTTTAAATTGTGATTTTTTTTTAAATGGGTGTTTCAGACCCAATTCGTACTAAAATGAAAGTTATTTTTACTTGTACATGAAAGGTTTAATCAGGAATGCTAAGTTTTTCCTTTTCTAGCAAAAATGTGTGAAAAGAAAAAAGCTTGGGATTGATGATGATTCTTAAATCAAAATTTGGCAATTGATTGAAAACATTTGCAAATATGAGATCTCCTTTATGTATTATTTTAAATTCACAGCCGTATCTGTAGCATCTGAAAATCAAAGCCATTTATGTGGAGGGGGAAGTCAATGGCAGTATGAACCACTGTACGACATACGTTCGAGGCAAATGTAGTGGTAAAAGTTGAATTTAAATATTTATTAAATACTACCGGTTCCGTTCATGTTTGGTATCAAGATCAACAGTAAAAATATCAGTCTTAATGGTACAGGTAGTGGGATATATAAGAAAATTACTTTAATGGTACAATTTAAGCGTTAAAGTGACGCCTCGATTTCACCCATAAGGATTACCCGGGGAACTGAAATACGGGTCTCGTGTTATGAACTGAGTTCAAATTTCGCGCGTCATTCACTTTACTGGTCAATCTCTTATGGGGCTTTCAAAAGCTGTCCGTACTGTATGGTATTCTGTGGCTAAGATGACCAGGTTTTTCGCTCCACCTACCTCCGCAACGATGAATATACCATACCACAACTTGTGTACAGTGAAAAGAGTTTCGTTTTTATTGACGAGATTGCATAGAGAGATTGAGCTAAGAAATGAAACAGATTATATCATAACGGAAAATATGACATTTAATATTAAATACGTCTTTGTGCAACGTGTGCCAGAGTGACGTCAGAATTTGCAAGCCACCGTCGGCTCCGTTTGAACCGGTTTTATTTTATTTTAATTAGCAAATTTCGACTCTATGGACGGCTACAATATCTATGCAAGCTACTATATCTATAATTTTATTTTTGTACGTCCATAACGACCTGCGCTTTATAAAACAGAACAAGAGACTTAATGCATATAGTTTATGATCAGAATTAAAAAATGTCCCATCTAACAGGTAACACGAATTAAGACTAGTAATGAGACATTATTTTTTAACCTCTGCCTATGCGTCACTGCCAAAAAGGAACAGTTATACATATTCAGAATTTTGAAATATAAGCTCGAAAAATAAAATCATATATTTCATCATTTTTTTTAATTCTAATGCAAAATATGTTGATCGGCAACAAAAGCAATGCAAAGAAAAAAATCGGAATAAAAAAACGAATCTATTTCAAGGTTAGCGATCTCGTTCTAAAATAAATATGAATTAAATAATTTCTTCACTTTGATCGTAAGGAAAATAAATAATAATTTGAATACGAAACAATAATTGATCATCGAGTTTTGTGTATTAATAATATTAATAATAATATTACATACAATGTCCTACAGGCCGTAGCCCAATTATGGGACAAGGTTCAAACATGGCTAAAACAAATGGTTGAGTAGCATCTTTTAATTTGGTTAATTGAGCAGTTAAAAATATCTATTTTGTTCTCAATATTATTATAATTAGACAGCATTTGTGTAAGTGGCGAACTGATTCCACTGTTCGTACGTGGTGTGTCGAAGGAGAAAGTGTTTTTAGTGCGTGCATTTATTCTGTTGATCTTAAATTGAGTATTGAAAAGTATTGTAGGACACTCTACGACTCCAATAATTATTTTAAATAACAATACAACAGAGTGCTCAATACGTCTGGTGAGCAGAGAAGACATATTAAGCCGATTGAGGAGGAATTCTTGAGGATGACCTCTAGGTGGGTAAACACCATCTAATACGTATACTGCCGTTTTCAGAAACCTCCGCTGGATTCGCTCAAGAGCAGAGACATGTATGTTATAAATAGGAGACCATACAACTGAAGCATACTCTAAACGAGATCTACAATAAGTTATATACAAAATTTTCAGTGTCTCTATATCTGCAAACTCGCGCCCATTGCGTACAACAAAACCTAAGGACTTAAAGGCAGATGCAGTAACAGATTGGATATGTGAGCCAAATGATAATTTTGAATCGAACACTACACCAAGATCACGTACAACTTCAGGTTTAGTAAGAATAGTGCCATCTATATTATAATCAAAGAGAACAGGTGCTACTTTTTTCGTAAAGGTCATAACATAACACTTATTTTTATTCAGTACCTGATTATTGTTTTTACACCAATTAAAGGTTTTATCAAGGCATTTTTGTAATCGTAGTGAATCATCATGAGTATTTATGACACTATAAATCTTTAAGTCATCCGCAAATAAAAGTGCATGCACATCTACAATTTCTACTATATCATTAATGAATATATCGAAGAGTAAGGGGCCCAGAACCGAACCCTGAGGAACACCCGTTTCCTGATGAAACAATTCAGATTGAAATCCATTAAGTTTGACAAACAAATAACGGTTAGACAAATATGAATCTAATAAGGAAATTAAAGAATCTGAAAATCCAAACCACTGCAATTTCTGAAGTAACATTTGATGGTCAATTTTGTCAAATGCCTTAGACAAATCAGCATAAATAACATCAACTTGACGTTGATTATCCAACGAATCGCACAAGAACTGAGTTATGGAGACAAGGTTGTTCTCAGTTGAACGTCCTCTGATAAATCCATGTTGGTTTGGGCAAAGCATTTGTGAAATATGGAAAGAGAAGAAAGGATGTAATACTAATTCAAATACTTTAGCGAAATTGCTAATAATGGCAACTGGTCTATAGTTTTCTATATTGGTAACTTATCCCCCTGTTTGTACACTGGGCAAATTCTTGAAGTTTTCCACTGATCGGGAAAGTTACAAGATTTTATACTAAGATTAAACAGAGTAGTCAATGGTCTCGCGAAAACATTCACACAATCCCTTACAACAAAAGCTGGTATTTGATCAGGACCACTAGTCATTTTAGGCTTCAGTTTTTTGATTGCCAAATACACATTTTCTTCTGTAATACTTTTTAAAATCAAGAGATTTTTATTCAAACTCGAACAATTTAAATCAGATGGAATTTTATTTGTATTTATAAATGACTGGGCAAAATGTTTCGCAAATCCGTCGACTATCTCTTTTGGATCAGCCAAATTAATAGCGTTGTAGGTTATATCTGATGGAATATTAACAGAGCTTTTTTTCGATTTCATAAATGACCAGAACACCTTTGGGTCAGACTTAATGCAATTATTCATTTTTTGTAAATAACATTTATACTTCTCTTTTATTTTTGATTTCAATTGTGCTCTCAAATTTTTGAACAATAGATAGTCATCTGGAGAATTCGATTTTCTATATTTTCTTGAGGCCAGATTTTTGTATTTTAAACCCTTAATGATGTTACTATCAAACCAGACCGGATAACTGCCAGAAGTATTTTTTTTCTTTGGTACATAGATCTGTAAAATTCCATCCAGTACAAAATAGAAATGGGACAATGCATTCTTAATATCAGAATGTTCATCAAGAAAGGACCAATTTACTGATAGCAAGGCCTCATATAATGAACACAAATTACATTTTCGGAAGTTATACTCAGATTCAAATGAAACTGGAAATTTTTTTTGATGAATCTTAAAAATACCAACTTCAATTTCGAGGGCAGGATAAATAAATAAAATAAATAAATATGCTTTATTATCCAACAGGCATCTGCCCAATTACAGGATAAAAATAAACGAAATATAAACCCAAAATCCTAAAACAATAAATATGATTGACTAAAATCGGTCATTTACTTCATTAAAACATGCTTAAGTATTTTCTTAATTCCATCATAATTGACATCGCAAACATTGCTAACTCCATTTATTAGTTTTGTCATTACGTTGATTGGTGAATTTACTCCTAAATTTGTCCTGAAAGTAGAAATCCTGAAAGTTATATGCTGTCTTGAGTTCAGCCTCGGAACTGCAAAAGAAAGTTTTGATAAAATGGCTGGCACATCAGCTTTTCCTTGAACGATGTTAACTATAAATTTAACTGCTGCCAACCGTCTTCTATCTTCGAGTAGTTGAACATCATACTTTTGCAAGAGAACCATAATATTCATTCCTCTTGGTGGATATCTTCCCTGTTCCTTAAAAAGTAGATATTTCAGGATTTTTTTTTGTACTCTTTCGATAGCATCTCTTTGATATGCATAATATGGTGCCCAAACAACAGATGCATACTCAATTTTCGATCTCACAAATGCAAAAAACAAAGCCTTTAAGGCAACTACATTTCTGAAATCCGAACAATTTCTTATTATAAAGCCCAAAGTTTGAAATGAACTCCCAATTGTTTGCTCTATATGATCATTAAAACTAAGTTTTTGATCAAACAATACGCCCAAATCCCTAATTGTGCTACACCTAGAAATTGATTGATCCATAATTTTATAGTCAAACAATATTATATTAAATTTTTTTGTAAAAGACATGATATTACATTTCGACTTATTAATCTCTAATTGATTAGTTCTATACCATAATAATAGTCTATTCATATCTTCATTCAATTTAAAACAATCTTCATATGAGTGAATAGAATGAAATATTTTTAGATCATCTGCAAAAAGCAGCACTTGTGAGTTCCTAATGACATCAATAACATCATTAATATAAATTGTAAAAAGCAATGGACCTATTACTGATCCCTGCGGAACTCCCGACGTAGCATAAAATATTTCCGATCTAAAACCATTATACTCCACGTTTAATTGACGTCTATGTAGATAAGATGAAAAGAATTGCAGTAAACTACTGGAAAACCCCCATTTATCCAATTTATCAATCAATATTAAATGAGACACACGATCAAATGCTTTTGTAAGATCTGTAAATATCACATCCATTTGTCCTCCTTCGTCTAATTCTTCAGCAATAGATTGTGTGAAGTGAACCAAATTAGAAACGGTTGATCTGCCGTTGACAAACCCATGTTGAAATTGTGATATGGATCTAGATATTGCGGGAAATATGCGGT